AAATGCTTTATTTTCTAACTTGTTTTGATAGGCAAGACAGTAAGATTAAGAGTGACAAATTAGAAAACAGCTATCTGCCTTTGATGTTAGGCTTCCTGTTAGCACTAAGAGAAATCTCTGACCACGTATGGCCATTTGATTCCTCACTGATGAAGTTTACTTCTCCACAGACTGGACTTAGTATGACTCTTTAGACTTTGGGATTTATTCAATTACATTTTTTCCTAAGCAAAGTCAAATTCTCTTCCATGATTTTGTTTTGGGATCATAAATTATGTTGGGGGTGAGAGTTTTTCCAGCTTTTTGAGGCTGAAATCAGAAGTTAAGAGTCTAAAAGAAATACTGGAATTATTTGGAAGCAGGATTTTGGCCTTCATTGGAGGAAAGTTGTTTAAGTTTCAATTGATTCATTGTTATATCTCACCTTATTCCTGGAAGGATTTAAGGTGACAGGTATGTACAAAGACTTGCCCCTTCACAGCCAGGCTTTGTGAAAGAGTTGCTAAGGTTCACTTTCTCAACTTGCAGTTCCTCGTTCCCCATGATCTTCAGTCTCTGGCCTGCTCACATACTACACATACAGTTCCTCACAGCAGTGTCACCAAGGGTCTCCATCACTACTTGGACATGATTCTTTATTTGACCTTGCTAGGGCCTCAGAGTGACTGTTCCTTCCTTTTGTGTAGATTTTTTTTTTGATTATAACAGTAATAGATGTTCGTTGTGAAATTTTGGAAAAAGACACATACACTCTCTATGCAGAAAATTTCTTCCTCATTGAAATGTTTGTATGACAACTGTCTTGTCCCTTTCTTCCTACTTTTTTTGGCCAGACCTGTGTCAGCCTGCCTTCTAGATATCTCTATCTTGTAGGCATCATTTCTTAAAACTGAATCTTCCTCTTCTTCCCCTGCTTCACATCTGCTCTTCCACCTTTGTTGCTTTCTCACTAAAAGATACCCCTCTTAATCCAGTTGGTGAAGCTGTAAGATGAGGACCCATCCTTGACTCTTCTCCCTCAGCCTTCACCCGTTGTCCGCAGCCAGAGTTCCTGCCTGTTCTTCCTCACTAACCCGTTGTCATCTCTCAGCTCACAGTACCGTAGCTCAGACTCTGCTTATTTCTCACCTTAGCTCAGTTTCCCAAAAGCATCATCTACTTTTGAATCTCTTAGAATTTTGTGCATGTTCCTTTATGGCTTATCTTAGAAAATCAGGGCTTCTCTGACCTGTTTGTACACCCTCAGGACTGAGCTTGGTGCTGATGGTCCCCTCTCCTCCCTTCAGATATTCCTTCCTTCTCTGCCCGCCACCCTAGCACCTGTGCTAGAACACATACCACATTCTACTGTTAGTGCCCATTTACTTCTCTGTCTCCTTAAGGGCAGTGACTGTGTCTTATTCATAATTGCACCAGTAATATCCAGCCCAGAGTTTTTAGTAAATTTCTGATAAGGCATGGATAGAAGGAAATGGGTGGCATTTGGTATGAAAAAAATTTGCAGCTGTTAGGTTAGTTTGGTTCTGGCTGCTGTAAAGTTTGTATCTTGGCCTTCATCTACTTGGTCCTATGGTAATGATTCTGTGAACAAGCTTCCAAAGTGTGAGGTATGGTAGGGTAAAGCAGGAATGATAGGTTAGCAGTGGTGGGCTTCATGACCTTGCATTACTTTTAAAGAGGTTCAACTTTCCTGTAGGTAACAATAGTGTAGCAGAGATAAGATGGCTGCTTACCTTAGGACAGTTGTACCAGGGATGAGGAAGAGGGAGCATTTTAGTGACTTTATGATTGTATGTGGGGGGTCAGGAGGGAAGAATCTAAGTGACTGAACTTTCTGGCTTAGTTGACTAGAAACTTGATGCAATCACTAATTAGTCATGTTGGTTTTTGAGACTCTTTTTGACATCTAGGTTAGTACATCTAGTTGGCAGGCAGTAGGATGTAAAGTTTGGGAGAGTACACCACTGGAGAGTCATTAGTATGTGGTCATTAAAACTACAAGAGGTTTCTTAACCATATAGCTTAAGTGTAATAATGGTCTGGGAAAAGAAAGAACTCTGAGGAACACTGGTGTTTAAGGGCTGGGGAAGAAGAGAAGAGAGGTGAGAAAGCAGTCAAAGAAACTGAGGGGTTGGAGTTAGGAGTTGAAGAGGAAATTTGGCAATAAAAGGGGCACTGACTATTTTGTGCTTTAAAGAGAATAACAAGAAAATGGATCTGTTTTTACTCAGCTGTTAGAATTAGCATCAGTGTTCGCTGTCTGCTTGGCTTTTTGTTGGACAGTCCCACCTCATCTCCATTGGTAGTTCAGCACCCCAGCCCTAATCCAGAGCCCCACTGACAGACTCCCTTACATCAGGTCTAACACATGACCTTTAAATTCCCCTCCAAATTAAATCAAAGATTAAAAACAGAATCAGAAATTTTGACTCAATGGGCCCAGGAATCTTAATTTTTTACAAGGACAATTCTGAGCACCTAAGGAACGCTCATGTCTAAGTAGGTACCGTCACCCTCCATTTTATTTTATTGTAAGAGAGCAGGACTTTATTATGATGAACTTTTAAAGTACAATCGTGATGATGAGATTGGCAACCATGGCAACCTGGCTAGAGCTTCCCACCGTGCCTGTCTGTGTTGGAGGGGGCTGGGGATGCTGGGGAATGCACCACCATCTGGGGTAATCTGTTAGAGATGTACAGTTTTTATTTTGATGGATTTTTGCAGCAGAGGCCCTTGGTGCCCTGTGTCATATCCTTGTAGTCCACCACCAATTTCAACCAAAACTCAGATTTTTGCAGTTTTTCACTCTTAAGTCTTGCCAGCATTTTTCTGTTTTCTATAACAGGGCCTTCAAGCCCAGCAAAGAAAAGGGGAGAGGTTACTATCCCAGGCAACCTTCACCCGGTGGGGAATATGAGCCAGTGCATAAATGTGCTGCTTCCCTCTGGGGTCCCACAAAACCATCCCCCACCTTCCAGCAGTCACCCTAATTGTATCAAATGACCTTACTCACTTTTCTCTTTCCTTGTTGTAATTCCCTCACTTCTGTTTTCTTGGATCATCTCCTATTTTAATCCTGCTTAAACCTTGTCTGTTAGTAATGTGTCCCTTGAGCTGACTTTATAAGTTAATAAATGCAAACAAAAGCCTTCTGTAATTACATTAGTTTTTCTTAATGTCTCTGTCTATCAATACAAGCACCTAAAATAATGTGTGGGGGAGGAACGCAATGAGAACATATTATGTAATGCAGAATGGCATTGCTGAAGTTTAAATTTATTCACAGACACTCTGTAATGAGATCATTATGTGAGAAGTTATTGGATTTTTTTCAACAACCTCCATTTCTTTTCATTTCACTTAGAGAGGGGCTGAAGGGATGTGAAAAGCCAAAATATTGTTGACAGAGAAAGACAATACCAGATGTGCCTCCTGTATTCATATATCTTCATCTTGTTCTTGAAAAATTCTGGGTGGCTTTTTAGTTAAAACTAAATTATAGAGTATAATGATAGGAAGCTATTAAAATGCTACAGTGCAGGAAGGGGGAAGAGCTCCGCAGATTTAGGATATAAATTGCTAAAGATCATAAACAAACCAGTCTGCTCTATTTCAGTGATATCTTTGAAAAGATACCTTGTGTGCCTTAATGCAAGATTTGTCTTTACCTAGCTATAAGATATTCATATCTGTACTTGTTCTCTTAGCTGAGACTGGACTCTAGTAATTAAAAGTTGAAATAAAAGTTAAACCTGTTTCTGGATGATCACTTTCATTCTTGATGATTAAAGCTAATATCTGAAAGCAATTACCATAGAAGCTGACATATTGCCGGCGCTCAACAATTGTTATGGAGCAAATGATAATAAAGGGGAACATGCTAAGTTGCCCTGTATGTATGTCTTAGACTGGGGTCCCCGTGAGCAAGAGTATGTTAGTGTGCTTGGACCTGTGGGGTTCCTGCCTCACTCCCACCAATCTGACCACAGATGTTTATTTTTATTCTGTAGGTTTATTTTGTAGGAGACCAAGGCATCCCTACAAAATGCTTGTTCCTCGTTTAGGGTGTTCTTTGTAGCAATGGGCTATTTTGATGTATAAATTGATGAGATGATTTGATAGTCTAGTATTCCAACCCTTTAGTTATCATTTCACCTCAGACCCAGGGGAAAAGTGACTGGTCCAAGGTTAAATCACTCCGTCTAGCTAATTAATGATATGGCTTGGACTAGAAGAACACAGATCTCTGCATGTAATGAATCATCTTTGTGTCTGATTGCTAAAATGGGACCTTCCATCTCCACTCTTGGCCAGAGAACAAAAACAAGGCACTGTTTTTCTGAACTAGTTAAAATGTTTTTTAGGAGTAATAAAGATTATGGGTTTTATGTTTGATTTAAAGTATTTGTAGATAATTTGACAATTTTAGAGCTTATACAAATAGATTATTTAGGAAATCAAGACTGATGATGGGTGAAGAACATAAGCAACCAACCAACTGAAAATTTATAAACATCTAGATACTCAGCAGCATGGGAGTGGCTTAGGAAGCAGTCTATGGTTTTGATGGGCTGTTTGCCACCAGGAAAATGCTACTTGTGATAACTTAGAAATAGTGTCAATCAACTAGAAATTCTGGACAAGTTCCTTCTCTACTTTTCTCTCTTCTATATTGTGCCTATCCTTACTGGGATTTTTTCTGTAAGTTCAACTTTCCTTACCTTTATAGGGCTAAGTTTATAGTATAGGATATTAACTAATATCAGTCTTTGACATTCACTCAATCTGAAATTCACCAACTTATTTTTCTGGCCTGTATACCATCAAAAGTGGTTATTTAGCTTTAAAATTTTTTATCTGTACATTAAACTAGCTGAAATGAGAGTTGGTATGGTAAAGATTTAGTGAACTGACAAAATGTTTCTATTACTTGATAGAACCATGTGAGTGTAAGTTAAAATCACTGTCTTAATCAAATGTGTATTTCTTTCCTGTAGAGCCTCTGTTATGCACCTAAAGCCATACTGGAAACCCCAGAAGAAAGTGCCACCTCTGGGAACCAGCAAGGAAACTCTGAGAACTCCTACGAGCCACCAAGAGGCTGTAAATGATGACAGATGCAAAGCTAGCTACATGAAACCAAGTGTCTTTCCTTCCGCTTTTCTTGACAAAGCACCATCTCAAAAGCCTTTTGAAATTTCTCCAGATGTTTTGTGCAATATGAGCGGGAAGAGTCCTGCAGAGAGCAGCCTGAATGTGAAGACCAAGAAGAATGCCCCACCTGCCACAATCCACCAGGGCGAGGGAGGAGAAGGGCCGCTTGATATCTGGGCTGTTGTGAAACCTGGAAATACCAAGGAGAAAATTGCATTCTTTGCAGCCCACCAGTGTAGCAGTAGGATAGGATCTATGAAAATTAAAAGCTCCTGGGATATTGATGGGAGAGCTACTAAAAGGAGGAAAAAATCAGGGCATCTTAAAAAAGTCAAGATACAGTTAGAAAGGATGAGGGATGTCAACAGCAGGTGCTACCAGCCTGAGCCTTTTGCCTGTGGCATTGAGCACTGTTCTGTGCATTATGTGGGTGACGGCGGGGACGGCATCTGTGCTGGGAGGCCTCTGTCAGTCATACAGATGGTTGCCTTCCTTGAGCAGAGAGCCAGTGCTCTGCTAGCCAGTTGTGCAAAAAGCTGCAATAACTCACCTGCTGTGGTGAGGTTTTCTGGGCATCCCAGAAGTGTGATGCCAGCCTCCGAGCCCTTCTCTGCCCCAGGAGCTTGTGAAGAACCCACAGAAAAGGGAAATCCTGAGGTTGGTGAACCACAGAGTGAGCCAGTCCGTGTCCTTGACATGGTAGCCAGATTGGAGTCCGAGTGCCTGAAGCAGCAGAGCCAGCGTGAGCCTGGAAGCCTCTCGAGAAATAACAGCTTCCGTCGCCACGTAGGTCGGGTGTTGCTTGCAAGTGGCACTCAGGCTGATGAAGGCAAGACAAACAAAGGCATCTTGGAGACCCCCGACACTCAGGTGGATCCTGTGGAGCCCGGGTCTATGGACGGCAGCCCGTCAGGAGCTGACCACTGTACTCCTGAGGGGGATCAGGCCTGGGGCAGTGCTCTGCCAAGCTGTCCCTCACTGCCAGCGGGTGTGAGTTTCTCTATGGACAGTGCAGAAGTGGAGCCAGATCAGCAGACTTCCTTGAAAAACAGCACTAGATATGATGTGGAAATGACAGAGGAACTTGTCGGGTTGCCTTTCCCTCCTCACACCAGTCCCAAAGCCATTGAATTGCCCACAGGTGCTGTTGACTGTATAAGTAGAGAGCTTGTGCCCCTTACTAGCCAAAATCTTGATCAGAGAAGGAAAGAATCTTTGTGCATTAGTATCACTGTGTCCAAGGCAGAGAAAGACCAGCCTTCTGGTTTAAAGTCCTGTGAAGACCCACTTCCAGGGATGTTGTTTTTTTTGCCGCTGGATCAGCGCCAGTCAACCCGCTCCCCACTGAATGAGAGCACAACAGGAGAGTCTCCCGAGGCCAGCCAGCTTGAGGCTGCCACTGCAGGCGGTGGTGCGCCCAACGCAGAGAGTGTCACGGCTGATCCGTGTGGCCTGCCAGCCTCTCCTGCGGGAAGGGCATTGCTGGGGCACAAGGCGTCCAGCTGGAGGAGGCAGGTGTCTCACAACTTTCTGGAGACCAGGTTTAAGATCCAGCAGCTTTTGGAGCCTCAGCAGTACTTGGCTTTTCTGCCCCACCACCTTATGGTGAAAATCTTCAGGTTACTTCCCACCAGGAGTTTAGTAGCTCTTAAATGTACCTGCTGCTATTTCAAGTTTATCATTGAGTACTACAACATAAGGCCAGCTGATTCTCGCTGGGTTCGAGATCCACGCTATAGAGACGATCCTTGCAAGCAGTGCAAGAAGAAGTACGTGAAAGGGGATGTGTCCCTGTGCCGGTGGCACCCCAAGCCCTACTGCCAGGCATTGCCCTACGGGCCGGGGTACTGGATGTGCTGCCATCGCTCTCAGAAGGGCTTCCCTGGCTGCAGGCTGGGTTTGCATGACAATCACTGGGTCCCTGCCTGCCACACCTTCAATCGGGCAATCCATAAGAAGGCAAAAGGGACTGAAACTGAAGAGGAATGTTAGAGTCTCTCTGAGAGGTGACAGAGGGACCGATTTTCAGGACTGCAGACCACCACCTCCATGCACCGTTCCAGAGAGTGATGCCTTGCAGGGTCATCACTCTGCAGAATCCACACTTACTCCATCAGGACTGCCATAGCTCAGGCATTTTTTAACTCTTCATTTACAAGCTGCACAATAAAATTGGCCACATTGTCTTACAGTGGCACCTCACATTTGGTCCAGGGTGACTCATTTGGTGGTGAATAACTACATCTGTTTTCCCAAATCAAATCCACCTGCAAAGGATGACGTCTTGCCACCGTCAAGGCTGTTCAGAAAAGTTCATTGCAGATTATGCAGACATTCCCCAAAAGGGTTCCAGAACTGGTTTGAGCACTGGCACCATATTGGAAGTACAGGAATAGTGTCCTGTGAAAAGATTAGCAGCAGTCTTGGTTGAAAAGTATGCTTACAAAAGAAAAGTCGGGCACCTTACCTTACACCTTGTATGCTTGATCTGTGAGATTGATGCTTGTGACTGGAGATAGATTTCATGCCCTGTGGTGTTTACAGTGTATATAATAGCTGTGTTTTCTTAGGGCTATGAAAGTGCACATTAAACCTGAGCGCCTTTACCTTGGATGAGTGCTTTTGGCCCTGCTGTAAATAGCACTATTAAAATCCAGTTGTATATAGTGGACAACTGACTGAACAACATAATCAGCACAATGCAGCTAGGATAGTGTTGCGGCTACAGTTGTGTGGTTTTTTTATCGTCTTGTCTCAAATTTGTACATCCTGTATAAAACATGAATGTTTCCCAAGTAAACTATGAATGTGTCCTGTATAATATATGAATGTTTCTGAGAAGAAACTCTAAACAGTTAAGAGGTTAACCTGTTGAAAGGATACCAAATAATCGTTTAACCAGACAACTTCAAAATTAGCATAGAGAACAGTCCTTTGCTTTATTTTAGTGATCGACCAAGAATAACAGAATATTATATAGTCAGATTATAACATTCTGTTTTATTCTTTCTGTCTGGTTACAAAATTTAAAAAAATCAATAAAAACATGCATCCTAATTGGGACCTGAGTGTTGCGGATTTTTCTCCTTTTTTGAGCTAATATTGGTAGGCACTTACCAATGAAGGATGTTGTGAATAGGGTTGTAAGAATTTGAAAGGTTTTTGAGTTTAGGGGAAGGGAGAGAGAATTTTTTCTGCACTGAAACTATCTTTACGTAACATTGAGCTTACGTTTTTGCAACTTAATGCTTATTTTGAATTTATTGCCTTCCCAACATTCACTGTGTATTTCCTTTTGGATGAGGTATTATCTCGGATATTCTTGCACCTTGTCCAGGCATAATTAGTTAATCATTCAGAAGTCACTGAGGATATATTCAGGCCTGTGGTCACATAATGCTTGCTAGGGCTGGAAGGTACTGGGCCGCAGAAAGCTATTGTGGAGGACCTAAGAACTAGGTTGGCTGGAAATCGGGTATCCACAAAAACCCTGCAACCAGCCTAAGCTCCCGGCTGTGGAGAAGCGATGGTAAAGTGTTCCTGGGCAGAGGCTGATGGTCCTTGGAGAAAGGTGTAAAGGTTGAGCAGGGCTGCCAAGCAGCATGAGCTGGGGCTGGAGCTGGGTGGGGCCAGGGTCACCTGTGGCTGAGGAGGTGGGTAGTCACAGAGCAGCTTTCAAACCGGAGTCTGACCTGTTGTCTTCTGCCTTTATTGGTAGGCAGTAGCTGCTTCTCCCTCAAAAGGGGGGAACAAACTGAAAATTGTCTTGGTGCTGAGCAAGTCTGCCTCCATCAGGCACATAATGATAACCTGTGACATGCCGGCCTGGAGCCCTCAGGCTCATTGTCTGACACAGGTGGAGGACAGGCCGAGAAGAGCTTGCTTTTCTTTCAAGGTATCAGTGTCCTTCCGGGTCCTTCTTCACAACTCGCCCCAGGTGAGGTATGCTGGAAAAGCTTTTCAACCCGCGTCCCTGGTGCTGAAGTTGCCCATGCTCATCATCCTCCCTTGTGGTTTGGTGGACCAGCGACCTCTCTGTACCTTGCTAGGATTGAAGGAGATGTGCACACAGAGGACTGGGAGTACGGTTTGGCATGGGGTAAGTGCCTAGTAATGTTAGCTGCAACTATCATTGGTTATTGGTTCTAACACTTGCCCACTGTGGGCACACAAAATAAACAATGCTCTTGAGTGGTTTTCCCAAGTCATCTATTCTGGATATGATTTTCATGGACACAAAGCTGTGATTCTATGAGGGACTGAATCTGACCAAGAGCAGAGGACACAGAAAGAAGATCCAACCCTGTCTTGGCATAATGATCTCTCTTGAACTGTGCTTCAGGACCCACTTCCCAGCTATGTGAATGATAGAGAATTTTAGCGGGGAGTACCCCCTCCTCGTCTTCATGTCTAGTTTAATCTTTAGGAAAAAGACTCTGGGCTTCAGAGCTCCCTAGTGCCAAGCTGGGGAAATCAGACCAATTTTTATTTCCTGTAGTAGTAGAGCTACTTGCCTTCTTTGCATTGCTGTATCTTAGACTCATAAGAAATGAAATAACATGTAGGCACCATGACCCTAGCCTACTTCCCCTACCCCTTGGGGACCGTAATAAAGAAAACTCCCTCTTCAGCCTTTTTAAAAATTACTATTTTTTAATTAATGAATTAATTATATATTTTTAATTAAGGTAGTATTGATATACACTCTTAGGAAGGCTTCACATGAAAAAATAATGTGGGTACTACATTTACCCATATTATCAAGTCCCCCCACCCCATACCCCATTGCAGTCAGTGACTATCAGTGTAATAAGATGCCACAGATTCACTATTTGCCTTCTCTGTGCTACACTGTCTTCCCTGTGACCTCTTACACCATGTGTACTAAACATAATACCCCTCAATCCCCTTCTCCCTCTCTTCCCACCCACTGTCCGACACGCCCCCCTTTGGTATCTGCCAGTCCTTTCTTGGAGTCTGTGAGTCTGCTGCTGTTTCGTTCCTTCACTTTTGCTTCATTGTTATACTCCACAAATGAGGGAAATCATTCGGTATTTGTCTTTCTCTGCCTGACTTATTTCACTGAGCTTAATACCCTCTAGCTCTGTCCATGTTGTTGCAAACGGAAGCATTTGTTTTTCTTATGGCTGAATAAGTATTCCATTGTGTACATGTACCACATCTTCTTTATCCATTCATCTACTAATTAGGTTGCTTCCATATCTTGGCTATTGTAAATAGTGCTGCGATAAACATAGGGGTCCATATGTGTTTTTGAATCTGAGAACTTGTATTCTTTGGGCAAATTCCAAGGATGGGATTCCCGGGTCAAATGGTATTTCTGTTTTTGGTTTTTTGAGGAACCTCCATATTGCTTTCCACAATGGTTGAACTAGCTTAACATTCCCACCAGCAGGGTAGTAGGGTTCTCCTTTCTCGGCATCCTTGCCAGCATTTGTTGTTCTTAGTCTTTTCTATGCTGGCCATCCTACCTGGTGTGAGATGATATCTCATTGTGGTTTTAATTTGCATTTCCTTGATGACTAGTGATGTGGAGCATCTTTTCATGTGTCTGTTGGCCATCTGAATTTCTTCTTTGGAGATTTGTCTCTTCATATCCTCTGTGCATTTTTTAATAGGGTTATTTGCTTTTTCAGTGTTGAGGCGTGTGAATTCTTTATATATTTTGGATGTTAACCCCTTATTGGATATGTTGTGTAAAAATATGTCCTCCCATACTGTAGGATGCCTTTTTGTTCTGTTGATGGTGTCCTTTGTCATACAGAAGCTTTTTAGTTTGATGTAGTCCCATGTGTTCATTTTTACTTTTGTTTCCCATGTCCAAGAAGATGCATTCAGGAAGAAGTTGTTCATGTTTATACTCAGGAGAATTTTGCCTATGTTGTCTTCTAAGAGTTTTATGGTTTCATGACTTACATTCAGGTCTTTGATCCATTTCGAGTTTACTTTTGTATATGGGGTTAAACAATAATCCAGTTTCATTCTCACATGTAGCTGTCCAGTTTTGCCAACACCAGCTGTTGAAGAAGCTTTCATTTCCCCTTTGTATGTCCATGGCTCCTTTATCATATATTAATTGACCACATATGCTTGGGTTTATATCAGGGCTCTCTAGTCTGTTCCATTGGTGTATTCTGTTCTTGTGCCACTGCTAAATTATTTTGATTACTGTGGCTTTGTAGTAGAATTGAAGTTGGGGAGCATAATCCCCCCAGCTTTATTCTTTCTTCTCAGGATTGCTTTGGCTATTCAGGGTCTTTGTGGTTCCATATGAATTTTAGAATGATTTGCTTTAGTTCATTGAAGAATGCTGTTGGTATTTTGATAGGTTGATAGGTTGATTACTTTAGGAAGGATGGCCAGTTTGATAATTCTTCCTATCCATGAGCACGGGGTGTGTTTCCATTTATTGGTATCTTCTTTAATTTCTCTCATGAGTGTCTTGTAGTTTTCAGGGTATAGGTCTTTCACTTCCTTGGTTAGGTTTATTCCTAGGTATTTTATTCTTTTTGACGCAATTGTGAATGGAATTGTTTTTCTGATTTCTCTTTCTGCTAGTTCATCGTTAGGATATAGGAATGCAACAGATTTCTGTGTATTAATTTTGTATCCTGCAACTTTGCTGAATTCAGATATTAGATCTAGTAGTTTTGGAGCAGATTCTTTATGCACAGTATCATGTCGTCTTCAAACAGAGACAGTTTAACTTCTTCCTTGCCAATCTGGATGCTTTTTATTTCTTTGTGTTGTCTGATTGCCCTGGCTAGGACCTCCAGTACTATGTTAAATAGAAGTGGGGAAAGTGGGCATCCTTGTCTTGTTCCCGATCTTAAAGGAAAAGCTTTCAGCTTCTCGCTGTTCAGTATGATGTTGGCTGTCTGTTTGTCGCATATGGCCTTTATTATGTTGAGGTACTTGCCCTCTATACCCATTTTGTTGGGAGTTTTTATCATGAATGGATGCTGAATTATTTCAAATGCTTTTTTGGCATCTATGGAGATGATCGTGTGGTTTTTGTCCTTTTTTTGATGTGGTGGATGGTGTTGATGAATTTTCCAATATTGTATCATTCTTGCATCCCTGGAATAAATCCTACTTGATCATGATGGATGATCCTCTTGATGTATTTTTGAATTTGGTTTACTAATATTTTGCTGAGTATTTTTGCATCTATGTTCAACAGGGATATTGGTCTGTAACTTTCTTTTTATGGTGTCTTTGCCTGGTTTTGGTATTAGAGTGATGCTGGCTCGCCTCATAGAATGAGTTTGGAAGTATTCACTCTTCTACTTTTTGGGAAATTTAAGGAGGATGGGTATTAGGTCTTCACTAAATGTTTGATAAAATTCCGTGTTGAAGCCATGCGGTCCAGGAGTTTTATTCTTAGGTAGTTTTTTGATTAACAATTCAATTTCATTGCTGGTAATTGGTCTGTTGAGATTTTCTGTTTCTTTCTGGGTCAGCCTTGGAAGGTTGTATTTTGCTAGAAAGCTGTCCATTTCTTCTAGGTTATCCAGTTTGTTACCATATAATTTTTCATAGTATTCTCTAATAATTCTTTGTATTTCTGGGGTGTCCGTAGTGATTTTTCCTTTCTCATTTCTGATTCTGTTTATGTGTGTAGACTGTCTTTTTTTCTTGATAAGTCTGGCTAGGGGTTTATCTATTTTGTTTATTTTCTCAGAGAACCAACTCTTGCTTTCATTGATTCTATTTTATTCTTCTCAATTTTATTTATTTCTGCTCTAATCTTTATTATTTCCCTCCTTCTACTGACTTTCAGCCTCATTTGTTCTTCTTTTTCTAGTTTCATTAATCATGAGTTTAGACTGTTCATATGGGATTCCTGTTTTTTCCTGCGATAAGCCTGTATTGCAATATACTTTCCTCTTAGCACAGCCTTTGCTGCGTCCCACAGATTTTGCAGTGTTGAATTATTGTTGTCATTTGTCTCCATATATTGCTTGATCTCTGTTTTTATTTGGTCATTGATCCATTGGTTATTTAGGAGCATGTTGTGGAGCCTCCATGTGTTTGTGGGCTTTTTCATTTTCTTTGCATAATTTATTTCTAGTTTTATATCTTTGTGGTATGAGAAACTGGTTGGTACAATTTCAGTGTTTTTGA